CAAGAGTCTCTCATGGTTTGCCTCTCTCCCTTTCCCCCACCATTTCCCCCCTTCTTCTCCCCCTTGTTCCTCCGTCAAGTTCCTCCTAATCCTCCTATACGTGCAAACATATGGTATTTGTCCTTCTCTGCCTGACTTATGAAACTCTGTACTCTTTAACCAACATTACTCCGTTTCCCCTTTCCCCCAGCCCCTGACAATCAATACTTTATGCTTCTATGCGTATATTTTTTAAATTTTTATTAAAAGATTTTTTAATGTTCATTTATTTGCTGAGGGGGTGGGGGGAGAAGGGGCAAAGAGAGAGGAGACACAGAATCCGAAACAAGCTCCAGGCTCTGAGCTGTCAGCACAGAGCCTGACACGGGGCTCAGACTCACAAACTGCGAGATCATGACTTGAGCTGAAGTCGGATGCTTAACCGACTGAGCCACCCAGGCGCACCTATAGTGTATTTTAGATTCCACATATAAATGACATTATGCAGTGTGTGTCTTTCTGTTTCTAGCTTATTTCCTGAAACATAATGTCTATCAGATTCATCCATGTTGTGGCAAATGCCAGGATTTTTTTTTAAGGCTGAATATTTCATTGTAGGTATGTGCCACATCTTCTTTATTCATTCATCTGTCTGTGGAAATTTAGGTTGTTTCCATATTTTGACTGTTGTGAATAATACTGCAATGAATATGGGAGTTCAGAGATATCATTGAGATACTGATTCCAGTTCTTTTGGATAACTACCCAGAAGTGGGATTGCCAGAAGTGGTAGTTTATTTTTAATTTCTTGAAGAACTGCCATATTGTTTTCCATAATGGCTCTCCAATTAACATTCCCACTAATGTTATAGTGTACAACTAATGTTGTATCTGAAGTGTTCCCTTTCATCACCAACACTTGTTATCTTTTGTCTTTTTGATAATAGCCATCTAAACAGGTATGAGGTGATATTTCATTGTGGTTTAGATTTACATTTCCTTAATGACTAGTGATGTTTGAGCACCTTTTCATATACCTGTTGGTCATTTGTATGTCTTCTTTTGAAAAACGTTTGTTCAGGACCTCTGTCCTTTTTAAAATCAGATTATTTGGTTTCTTTTTGCTATTATATACATTCCTTACATATTTTGGCTATTAGCCCGTCGCGTTGTTTGCAAATGTTTTCTGCCACTCTGTAGGTTGCCTTTTCTCTTTGTTGATTCAGTTTCTTTCACCATGCAGAAGCTTTTAAGCATCATGTTGTCTCATTTGTCTATTTTTGCTTTTGATGCTTTCACTCTTGGTGTCATATTCAATGATTTATCACCAAGGCCAATGTCAAGAACCTATGTTTTCTTTTTCAGTAGTTTTACAGTTTCAGCTTTTATGTTTGTCTTTAATCTATTTTGTGTTGGTTTTTATATATGGTATGATATAAGAGTCCGATTTTATTCTTCTGCACGAGGCACCATTTTTATTACATCTGTTGGGCATAGGAAAATTCCAAAGAAAGATCAACTTTGCAAAGCTCCATTTAGATTGCACAGAATGATTTTGAAAACTGAATTTAACCACAAGGACATGAAGGACCTTGAACATGGGGTTCCTTCTCACAATTCTCGTTGCTAAGTTGACATGCACAAGAAAGGAAAAACTTTGAAGAAATATCTATTCCCCTAAACAGACTCCTTTCTTCTGTCTTCCTTTGTTACCTTGCCATTTTTCATCTTCATTCAGATGAGTTATGATGTATGTTATCTATATCAAAGTAATATGCCATTATAATGAAAAAGCTTTACAAAGGCAAAACTCTCTTATGCTGGCGTATGTTTTTTTAAAAGACCTTTACTCAGTTCAACATTCCAAAAATTGTTTCTAATCTATGTTCTGGCATCCCAATTTGGGATACATCTAACTAAGATGGCTCGTATGTTGCTAGTGCTGTCTGTAAGGTGATTTTAATAATTTGTTTTATTGCCATTTTTCTTGCTTTTATTTGAGTGTACTGTGCCCAATTAATTATGTAATTCACTGCTTTCACAGCAGTTTGGTTGACACTGAATAATGATGCCCACGTTCATGTAGCAGGAAGACACTCTCTAAACTGAAGGAAAAAAGCAAGCATGAAATAAAGAAGAACAGATAATTCAAGAGACTTCGTGTGGTCCACTAAGGGATTAAGTAGGAAAAATGGGATAAGACAAGTGTCAGAGTTGAGAGGAAAAGACAAGCAAGCAAAGAATGAAATGTCCTAGCTTGGGAGCAGAAGAGGAAGGGCCACAAGGTGGCAGCACAGTCTTAACAGTGGGAAGCTTTCTCTTGGGCAACCATTAGTTTGCTGAAGCCACCGGCTTGCAGTTCCTGCATGTTGGTTTCCCCCATTATCCTGAACATACAAGTGTTTAGAATCAAAGGTAAACCTTAGAACTTAAGCTGAGGAAAAGTGCGGGGCAAAGGCACCATCTTTACTCCTAGAATCTGCACAGATGCTCTAGAAAAGTTTTCAAGCTATCTGTGGGGAAGGTCCACTTTAAGTTCACACACCATCACACACCAATCATTTTATAAAATTCGGTGAAAGTGATTTGATAGAGAAATGAACAAAAAAGATGTGGAACTCATAAGCTCACTTTAAAAATAAGTCGTTAAAAATATAAATAGATCAAAAGATCTAAACATCTTAAGCCACATTTCAAAAATGGAAATGGAACCCTTGTCTAGTTTTGCTTGTGTTGCTTGTGCGTTTTTTGTCACATCCAAGAAATCATCGCTAAGACCAATGTTCTGAAACTTTTCCTGCATATTTTCTTCTAGGAGTTTTATGGTTTCGGATCTTATGCTTAAATCTTTAATACATTTTGGGTTTGTGTGTGTGAGTGTGCGTGCGCGCACACACACACACGCCTGCACGTGGTGTAGGGTAAGGGTTCCATTTGACCGCTTTGCATATAGATGTCCAGTTTTCCTAACACCTTGTGCTGAAGAGACCATCCTTTGCCCTTTGTGTAGTCTTGGCAAACGTATCGAAGATCATTTGGCTGTATGGGTATGGGTTTATTTCTGAGCTCTCTATTTTGTTCCATTTGTTTCCGTATGTATCTTTATGTAAATATAAACAGAACACATAGAGGAAAAAAGAAAAAAAATACCAAAAGCATACATGCTATTTCTTGAAAGTATGTGTACAGATGACTAATATAGAGAATCACTATTGCTGTTATTATACTCTACAATTATATTAAACAGAAAGGTTTTGAGGGGTATAATATATATTTTTTCAATGTCCTATATATACACATTTTATGAGCATCATATAGATCCACTTAGAAAAGTTTTGTTGTGACCAACCGGCTTGCTTCTTGCTTGTGACTTCATCTAATCTAAGTCCAGTCGATGATAACACTATTTGCAGGATATAATATATATCCAAACTGATTCTGTGTGTGTTTTGTTGGCATTACAATAGGGACAGCCAGTTTCAAGAGATATGCTGGAAGGAGTAGAGGAAGAGATTTTAAAGCAATTTCACAAGCTCAAGGTATTCATTTTTAGCAGTTTTAAAACATCAAGGGGGTGATACTGTATTTTCAAAATTCATCTGTAGCCAGCCCCAACAATTTATCCTATAAAGTTATATTAAATTTGTTATCTTTCAGTGAAAGGACTAGCTCATGGTTCCATGAGTTTCCTATGCATAGATACTCTATCAGAATTATTATGCGTTGCACTGATGATAGTTGTGAAAATTATGAGACATGATATAACAATCTCTGGAAACTCTGCTGTTCTACATTTATAATATTTATGTTGACTTTCAGTCATCTGCTGTTGAAAAACGTTGAATTTCTTCCTTGTTTGAAAATATTAAGATTGTTAACATATGATTTCAGACAAATAGGCAACCGACTGTCTAATATATTTTATCTTTAAAAAGTTGGGCCCAAACTAGCTTCTTACCCAGAGTAACTCTGAGAGTTTATTCAACGGTTCAAACATTCTCTCCAGAACTTTCCCCCTAGATAACCACTGTCCCCAGCATGAAAAGCAGTTATTGATGATCAGCTTCTATATTATCACATAAACAGAATAGTTTCAAATGGAATGCATTAGCCTTGATGTAATTTATAGTTTTTACTGTGTAAAAACACATTATTTCAGGCGACTTTTTTTCATAGTAAGATTTTCTTGATGAAGGAACTAGTGCATTGCTTTGCATTCTGGCTCACGTTCCTTAATCTGAATAATTATTCTAGAACTTTCTCCCATGAAAGATTTAAACTCTAAATCATTTTTCCGATATAAATCATCCAGGGTCATCTATAAAAGTTTCTAAATGTTTTCTCTCAATTTCTGTACTTGTGTCGTTCACCCTGGTAACAGTTTATAGATGCGCGCAAGTTCACAGACTCAGCTTTGAATGACATTGCTTTCATATGCTTCTTCATTTCACTTGTCACTATTAAGTAGTGATTCTACTTAACTGAGTTCACTAAATTGTATTTAAGTAAATTCCTCTGGCTATCTTATAATGTAAATGATAAAGAATTTAAGGGGCAACTGGTTGGCCTAGTTGGTTAAGCATCTGGCTCTTGATTTGGGCTCAGGTCATGGTCTCATGGTTCGTGAGATGGAGCCCTGCATTGGGCTCTGGGCTAGGAGCCTCGAGTCTGCTTGGGATTCTCTCTCTCTGAAAATAAATAAATAGACGTTAAAAAATAAATGATAAAGAATTTAAAGGAAAATATCATTTTTTTGAACCGAGATTAACATTTACTGGATGCCTACTTTGTGCCAAAAATTTTACATGCCTTACATCCCTAAGAGGTGCATATTCTTACAATTTCCATTTTACACGTAAGGAAACTGAGGTTCAAAGTGTTTAATGCTCAAAATGACACAGCTAGTAATTGGTAGAGCTGGGATTTGAACCCAGAGCATTCTAAAACTCTTCGTTTTATACCATAATCCCCCCATCACATCCTACTTTTTGAGAAAAAAAAAAGTCACATTTATGATCTAACCTTAAGATAAATGGGAAAAATCAAATTTCAAAAGTGGGACAATGATAAAATCTAGAAAGAGAAGCAAACATAGTAAAGGTGTATCAATATGAGATGGTAAACTGAAAAATGTTTCTGTCAGGAGGAAAGAACATTTTTTTAAACCAACTTTATTGAGGCATAATTTATACCCATTCTATGTGTGCAGTTCTTTGAGTTTTGACATATGTATATATTCATGTTACCACCATTACAATAAAAATGTAAAACATTTCCATTAATACCCAGTTTTCCCTGGGTCCCTTCCTTCCTCATCAATCACTCTTCCTTTTGGCTCTAGGGAAATATTATCTTTTTGCTGATACTATAGATTAGATATATTTTTTCCCAGGTTTCACCTGCATGAAATCATAAAGTATGAATTTTGGCATCTTTCACTTGTTGCTCAGCATGTTTTTGAGATTCACCCACGTGACTGTGTATATCATTAGCTTGTTACTTTTTAATATTGAGTAATATTTCATTGTATAGATATGCTATAATTGATTCATCTGTTGATGGGCATTTGTATTGTTTCTAGTTTGGGGCTATTATGAAAAAGGTGCTTCAAACATTCATGTTCAAGTCTTTGTGTGGACACACGTTTCTATTCCTCTTAGACAAATAGTAAGAGTGGAATTGCTAGGTTGTATGGTAACTGCATCTCAACTTTCTAAGACCTGCCAAACTGTTGTCCAAAGAAGTTTGTTGTTTTATATTCCTAGTAGCAACATGTGAGGATTCCAGTTACTCTACATTCTTGACAACACTTGCTATTGTCAGTAAAAGGAAGCATTTGACATCAATTTAGAAAGACTAGTTTCTTTTTAGCCTGTCATTTGACAGGAAGGGAGTAAACAGTGGATGGGATTCTGTAGTACTTTGGTTTCTTCATATGCATAACTAACCTGCAATAAATCTCCAAGGGCACCATGCTTATCAAGAAACTTGATATTTAGCCTCTCACTGCTTTCAGCTCTTCTTGTGCCAGTTTCTTCCAAATGAAGTCACTGATAGTGCTGAGCTGAGCTCAGACTAGAGTATGTGGAAGCTGAGAGAAAATATTATGGCCATAGACACAATAGGTAGAGCATATGGTGAGCTCTGAAAATCCTCCAAGTGCTTGCTGTTAAGAAGTCTGTTGTCAGTCTAATTGTTTCTTTGTCGATACTACCTTTTCTCTGGTGACTTTTAAGACAATTCCTTGCCTTTCCTGTTTTATAGTTTTAACATGTGTTTAGGTGTGGATTTAGTTTTATTTCTCCTGCTTGAAATCCAAATTTGGTAATTCTCACTTTTCATGAATTCTGGAAAATACTTAGCCATTATCTCTTGAAATATTTGTATCCTTCATTTTTCTCTTTTCTCTTCTTTTGGAACATTGATTAGTTATGTATTGAACCTTCTTATAGAGCTCTTAATTTTCTGCTGTAATTCCTATTATTCATCTGTCAGTACTGCATTCTACATATTTTCTCCAGATCAGTCATCTAGTTCTCTGCTTTTCTCTACACATCTGTTAATTCTCTATTTAATCCACTTAAATTTGGGGTGCCTGGGTAGCTCAATCAGTTAAGCATCCGACTTTGGCTCAGGTCATGATCTCATGGTTCATGGGTTTGAGTCCTGCATCAGGCTCTCTGCTGTCAGTGCAGAGCCTGCTTCCGGATCCTCTGTTCCACTCTCTCTCTGCCCCTCTCCAGGTCATTCTCTCTCTCTCTCTTAAAATAAATAAATAAACATAAAAAGTATATATATATATATTCCATCTAAATTTAATCCACTTATTGTTTCTTTCTTTTTTTTTTAAGTCACTAAATATAGAATGACTCAAATGACCAACTCAGGCAACAACAGATGTTGGCAAGGATATGAAGAAAGAGGAATCCTTTTGCACTGCTGGTGGGAGTGCAAACTGGTGCAGCCACTCTGGAAAACAAGATGGAGGTTCCTCAAAAAAATTAAAAATAGAAGTACCCTATGACAAAGCAATTGCACTACTAGGTATTTTTCCAAAAGATACAAAAATGTTGATTCAAAGGGGCACATGCACCCCAATGTTTATAGCAGCACTATCAACAATAGCCAAAGTATGGAAAGAGCCCAAATGTCCATTGACTGATGAGTGGGTAAAGATGTAGTATATATATGTATGGAATATTACTCAGCAGTCAAAAAGAATGAAATGTTGCTACTTACAACAATGTGGATGGAACTAGAGTGTATTATGCTAAGTGAAATAAGTCAGTCAGAGAAGACAAATACGGTATGATTTCACTCATGTGGAATTTAAGAAATAAAACAGATGAACGTAGAGAAAGAGAAGCAAAAATAAGATAAAAACAGGGAGGGAGACAAATCATAAGAGACTCTTAAGTACAGAGAACAGGGGTGCCTGGGAGGCCCAGCCAGTAATGCGTCTGCTCTTGGTTTTGGCTCAGGTGATGATCTCTCATAGTTTGTGAGTTTGGGCTCTGAACCGAGCTTAGCGCTAGAGGTATGGAGCCTGCTTGGGATCCTTTCTCTCCCTCTCTCTTTGCCTCTCCCCTACTCATGTACTCTCTCTCCCAAGATAAATAAATGAAAATGAAAAAAATTTTTAAATAAATGAAAAAGTAGAGAACAAACTGAGGGCTGCTGGTGGGGTGTTGGATGGGGGATGGGCTAAATGGGCACTGGGCATTAAGGAGGGCATTTATTGGGATGAACACTGGTTGTTATATATAAGTAATGAAGCACAAAATTCTATTCCTGGAATCATTATTATATTATATGTTAACTAATTTGGATTAAAAAAATGTCGCCAAATATATACTAAATTACATTATATATATATAATTTCTAGAAGCTTTCTTTTGTGTCTGCATTTTTCTCCATTTTCATATTTTTGATCTTTT